GAAAGAAAGAAAGAAAGAAAGAAAGAAAGAAAGAAAGAAAGAAAGAAAGAAAGAAAGAAAGAAAGAAAGAAAGAAAGAAAGAAAGAAAGAAAGAAAGAGTGATTACTATCTCTAGGGGCTTCACTCTACTGACCCAAATTTATTTATTTCATCTTTCTTTACTTGGGGGGAATTCTACTATGATGACTATGATGACCATTCTTACCCTGTGAAGAAATAAACTTTTACCTTCATTATTCAGGTTTCATTTGGGGAGAGATTAAGGAAATGTGGGATGGTGGATTTACTGAATACATCCATGACTGGTGGAACCTGATGGATTTTGCAATGAACTCACTCTACCTAGCAACTATTTCCTTGAAGATTGTAGCCTATGTCAAGGTAACTTGAGATGTCTGCAATTTTTCTTAAGCAATAATTTTGGTTACATTATGTTTTAGCATGGGGAACATAAGAGTTTAGGGAGAAAGTGCTGATGACAGTCTAATTTATGTGGAAAAGTATCGTATAGATAGATATTCTTTCAATGGTTTGTAAGTAGTATCCACCTAGACAAAGAAAGTGGAGAATGGAGCAATTTGCAAATGAATCCTTAGCTTCTTAAACTGAGAGTAAAGGGGTCTCATCCATCCAGTCAGTGTATAAATTTTCTCTATAATATCTTTCCCAAGAAGATGGCCCACTGATGTTTGCATAGAACAGAGAAAATTCACTGAATTTACTATCTGCAAAAGCCTCTCTCACCCTTATCACTTAATTAAAAAGTGCTAACTTTATATTTTTCTAATATTATTCTCCCTGTGACACATTCATTAGTAATCCTTCTACCCTGTGGAGTCAAACAGAACAAAGTTGTTCTTTCTCCATAATAGTGCTTCCAATATGAAGTCATCTCTTCCTAACCCACTGAGTTGTCTTTTCTCAAAGCTAAATATTCACACTTCCCTCAAGTGTTCTTCATATGACAGATAGCAGAACACTAGAAATTTCACTGCAGTACACATACATCTTTAATCATCTCTTCTTCCCTCACCACTTCCACCACCAGGATGATCACTCAAGCTGTCATGAATCCAGCCTGTTGAGTATCGTCCAACCTATATCTCTCTATTAATTAAGATAATGTACACATACACATTACCTTGATGCTTTTCCCATTCAGTGAATTTTCTGAAAAAATGGTTTTGTGTCCAGCCCCTCACATTGGGTAGTCACAGGCTCCAAGTTCAGGTTTGATGCTCATTAGATAATAAAATGGCCATCCTCCTTCTACCCTGAGTTGAACTTCTCCAGTATGAAGAAAGGCTGATAATTCAGTCTCCATGATTATCTAGTCAATCATGCTTTTTGGCACTAAATCTCACATTAAGACATTTTAAAATGAGAATATGGCTGTCCCCCAAATCACCAACAACTTAGTTTATTTTTATATCCTTTTATAATGCATAAATTTTAAGACCTTGGGAGTTACTTATATGGAGAATGAATATTGAATGCAGTCATGAAACACTTTTGAAAGAAACTTAAAAGTATTCCTTATACTTGTGATGACCATTTAACACATACTTACAATTTCTTTACAAGAAAAAGCTGGTGAGGAAAATGTTTGAATCTCTAGTTAGTTAATGTGCCTGGATAAAATCCATGTCATTCTGGCACTCTGCTGACTAACGAACACTGTTTGCCTAAAAATAAACACATTTCTTCCTTTGGAAGCGATATTTATACACTGGAGGGACAGTAAATTATCAATCTAGAAATTGGCGGGGTTTGCTTAAATCAAGAAAAGGATTACCTCTTGGGGAATGTGAAAATGTGTCTATAGATGCCCAACATTAGCTAATCACATAACCTGTCCAACTTCATTTGTAAGGCTCCCATGAAGCTAGGCTCTTACTTCCCCACCACAGAGTGTAAGGATAAATAGGCTCTACTAAGCTGAGTAAATGCCCCTCGATTGACAAACGCTTAACTCAAAGGAGACATTTACCAAGAAGTTGGAGCCTTCCTCAAAAAGAGAAAATTTACAAAGCAAGACATGCCGCATGCCGACCTTGGATTTGCAATTAGAAATTATCAATGGGCAGTACTCATCCACAGAGCACATCAGCCTAAGATGAACTTCTCCAAGTAAGTTGAGACAACTTCAGTGAGGTAAAGCCTCAAGAGCTTTAAACATTTGAAAGATTTCAGATCACTGTTGTACTGAGGAAATACAGAAGCACCATGAGATAAGCCGGCCTTAAAGAAGATCCTTTATTAGAACCAAAAACTAGTGAACAGTACATATAGTTCACCTCATGTGGTCTACAACAAGAACCAAAAGGCAACAAATACACATAAGGTTGGCCCTCATTCCTTATGTGTATTTGAGAGCAACAAATACACATAAGGTTGGCCCTCATTTCCATCAGATAACCCTAGAAATGGGGAATAATTGTCCTTTTGTCATCTAGGATAGCACCACCTAATTTATCCTACCATCATCTTACTTCGATATATACAGACTAAATCAGAACTTTAATACCTATTGATTTACAATTCTTTCTTCAGCCAGTATTTGGCTGCACACACACACACACACACACACACACACACACACACATCCCTGTTATGATTGAGTTCCCACACTAGGCTGTCCCTCTTCTTATTTTGCTTTTGAGTTGACAGAGTGCAATTCATGCCCCTTTGAAAGGCATTGAGGACAATTTTCAAGATGCATTGCATCTGAAAGAATATAAGAAAAATTACTTGCCTCCCAATATCGCTAACTCAAAAGTCAGAAAAACCTGAATTAATTCCTACTCTGATACTCACAAACCAGATTACCATAGGTCATTCTTCTACCTCTATGAGCCTTAGATTCTGCCTCTGAATTATAAGATTAAACTAGATCAGTGACTTTCAACTTTTTAATTTTTTCCATGGAACCACATCTTGAAGTTAAAATTTATGCAGAACTATAATATATTAAAAAGCTTAAAGGATTGAATTTGAATTAAGGATTGGGTCTTTTAGGCCTCTTTGGCTCCCACAGTGGCCACCATATGCCTCCACTGAACACTCAGGCTTCAAGGAACGCAGCTGGAAAACCATATGTTAGATCAGGGTTCAGCAAACCATGGTCTCCAGAGCAAATTTGGCCTTCTACCACATCCATTTGTTCGCATATTGTCTGTTAGTTCTACAAGAAAAAAGTTGAGTAATGGCCACAGAGACCACATAGTCCTCAAAGCCAAAAGCATGTACTATCTGGCCCTTGACAGAAAAAGTTTTCTAACTTCATGCTAAATGAGCTCCAAATTTATTCCCTGCTCTCATATATTATACTATCTTTCTCCAAAGGTATATGCAAAGCATAGATTTACCACAAGAATCATCTTTCACACTTGTGAGTGTTCTGCAAATCCAGATTCACCATCCCATGGGCAGCAGACTTTCTTGTAATTATAGTTATGGCTGTGGAGAGAGAAAACCCTAAATTATGAGCTATACATGTTCCAGTTAATAATTTGTAGTTTTAAAACATAGGTCTGTTTTGTTATCAGCAAATATTCTCCATCTTTTACATATGCCTCAAAACCTTTAAAAGCCTATTTAACATATGTGTTGTGATATCAATTATTATATAAGTAACATTTAATAGAAATAGTGCTAGACTGAGTGATTAGAGACCTGAGTTTTAGTTCTGGCTCTGCCATCAACTTGCTGTGTGGTCTTAAGCAAGTCATTCTATCTCTCTGTATTTCAGTTCTTCCACTTGTAAAACAGGCATAATAATGCCCTTGCCTCACAGCGATGCGGCAAATTTTTTTTTGGATAGAGAAATGTAGAGATATCAGAGTTGGCCAAGTGCCTACAAAACTAATTGGCCACCTAAAGTCTATCTGAAACAGAAGCATAAGTGTGGCAAGGTTTCTCCAAATTCCTCTAGTAAAGAATACTAGATATATGCAAATGATTTTAACACCAGTCTCCTCAGTTGTTGAAATTTTAGAAATGCTAACAATATAATTTGGCCCCCAATGCAACTTCTTCTCAGGAAAGTTGTTTACATTTAGTCCTGAGAAATTGTGATATTTAGATTAGAGCTCAAGGCAATATGCTTCAGATTGAATTCCAGGCAAAATCTACTTCTGTCTTGGGAAGGTACAAGCAATTTCTTATATTCCCATAATATCTCTCCTCATGGAGTACACAGATTTTCATATATAGATACATAATCACAAACATGTGTAGTGGGTAAGAGTACATATTATCCTCATTCTAAGGTGAAATTGATAGTTAGAGGCAGTTTTAAGTGGCAAAGTCCAATTGCACCTTAGGTTTCACGATGAAGTCATATTTCTCAAGGCAACACCCAAGGTTCCAGGAACTGGAAGTTCAGGATAAGCCTGAAAATGGGAGGAAAAAAATCAGAATACTGGCTCTTCAACCCCCTGGTTCTTCATTTGTGCTAGAGGGACATTTGAATTTGTAGGGTTGTCAAAGGAACTATAAAATACATCTATACATCATTGTGTGGGCAGTACTAAATTAACTATATGAAAAGTTAACGTGTTACTTGTAATAGTATGTAATACTATTCTGCTGAATACAAAATTCGGCAGAAAATTCTGAGTAATGACCCTCTAAGGATATTCAATGAGTCCCAAACTGCAGTCAACAGAGAAGTTAGGATGAACACTGTACACTGAGGAGGCTGAACCTATTCCTTTTCCTTCACTAACAACTTGCCTGTGATGCTCAAAACAAAATGGGGGGTTGAGGAGGTAAATCTGATTTGAAATCTCATTAGGAAGCAAAGTAATTTGTCCCCACTACCTAGCTCATAACAGTGGCTCAGTTCCAGTGACACTCCCCAACAATCTGGCAAAGTCACAGTTAGAAAATGTCTGTTGATAAACCACAGGTGGTTACTCCAGATGATTGCTCCAAAATTCTATTTTCCATGTCTATAAGTTGGGTATATATTTGGATGAAAGTGGGAGGAAGAGAGTTATTAGTATCATGTATTGGTTGGATGGGAAAAAAACAGTGCCATGCACAGGGCTTATTGTATAAATGAATGCTCGATTCTTGCTTTGGTGGCTTTATTTGGGTATAGAAGAGAAGAAAGAGGGGAAAGTTTTATAAATGCTTACTGCACTTCTCACCTTGTTCACTTGTTTCTTTCAGTATAATGGTTCTCGTCCAAGGGAAGAATGGGAAATGTGGCACCCAACTCTGATTGCAGAAGCACTCTTTGCAATATCCAACATTTTAAGTTCATTGCGTCTCATATCCCTGTTCACAGCCAACTCCCATTTAGGGCCTCTGCAGATCTCTTTGGGGCGCATGCTGCTTGATATCCTCAAATTCCTCTTTATCTACTGCCTTGTCCTGCTGGCTTTTGCCAATGGATTGAACCAACTTTACTTTTATTATGAGACCAGAGCGATTGATGAACCAAACAACTGCAAGGGGATCCGATGTGAGAAACAGAACAATGCCTTCTCCACGTAAGACATCCCCCTCTCCTCTTGTGCTTTTTTCTTCCTTCTCCTTCCTTGCCCTGTTTTCCATCCACAGCTTCATCACTGCCTCTTGACAGTACACACAAATCTCATTCATTGATCAACCTAAAGGGTCTGAAGTGGAAGAAGGTCATTTGCTGGCTACAGAGGACTAGGAGAGGAGGTGGAGTTAGGTTTGGGAGTAAAGAAACAAACATAGCTGAGTTCGCAGGAACTCAGTTAGTTCTAAGCTATTTTGGTAGCATCTCATACTTTTAAAGGAATTAGTAGAAAGAGGGTAAATAATTCCTCACTCAAAAAAGAATCACTCATCAAGGAAATGAAACAGCAAGGCTATTTCTCTGAACAAGTGACTACCAAAGCTAACTTAATTATTCTGCATCAAGAATAAAGAAAAAGGAAGGATGTAAAAACATCTTAATACACCCTGTGATATCGTGATTTATAATAAGAAATAATGTATTTAGTCTCTATCCCCCCTTTCTGGCACAGAGCCCCTAAAAGCCTTGGAATTTCCTACGTGATGAGAGCCATAAAGTTGTCTTTTGTTGTGTTACTGAAGTGACTTTTAGAAAACACCTAAGGATGGAGACTGGTAGCCATAATCATATGGAGCCAACCATATGATTAAAGGGTTGGAACTTTCAATCTCACTCCCCTGACCTCCAGGGAGGGGAGAAAGGCTGGAGATTGAGTTTAATCACCAACATCCAGTGAATTAAATCTATCATGCTTATGTGATGAAGCATCCATAAAAACCCAAAAGGACAAGTTTCTGAGAGCCTCTAGGTTGGTAGAGACTTGGAGAGAGTGGCAGATGCTAGGAGAGGGTATGGAAGCTTCTCGCTCATTCCCTATAACTTGCCCTATGCATTTCTTCCATCTGGCTGTTCCTGAGTTATGTCCTTTTATAATAAACCAATAATCTAGTAAGTAAAATTTTTCTCTGAGTTCTTTGAAATGCCCTAGCAATTTAATTGAACCCAAGGAGAGGGTCATGGGAACTTCCGGTCTATAGCCAGTCAGAAGCACAGGTCACAACCTAGACTTACAATTGGAATCTGAAGTGTGTGTAGTGGGTGGGAGGGTAAGGGAGCAATCTTGTGGAACTGAGCCCTTAACTCATGAAATCTGACACTATCTCTCAACAGTGTCAGCACTGAGTTGAATTGTAGAACACCTAGCTGGTATTGGAGAATTGGTGGTGTAGGGGGAAACCTCCACATACCTACCTACACATTGGAATTGAGTTCAGAACCCCTTAGTTGGTATCAGAGAAATGATATTTACTAGAATAGCCCTGGCTCACAGAAACACGTAGTGGTTTGGGAAGAGAAAGGATAAAAAGGTAAGGAATTATGAGCCTTGATCCCTGGATGGCTACCTAGTCACCCATGGTATGAAACTGCAGTTGTGCTGTGATAGGTTACTAAAGGTAAAAGTTACTAGAGGAAATTACAAATGGTAGTAAACCTGACTCCAATTTGGCTCATTGAATATATGAAGAAATGCAAAATAATAAGAAGCATGTTAAACATACAATCCCTTGGTTATTTTTATTTGTAATAGCTAGAATAAAAGTAAAAGAAAGTGATGAGTTGGACCTTGATGCTAAACTAAGCTCAAATTTGGATCAGTCTGGAAGTGGGCCACCAGCCTCAAAGCTACCCTCCAAGGGAAAAATTATTCAGGGACAATAGAAAATGCTTCTAAGACCTCTGATCAGTAAGAAAGTTGTCATTGTAGAGGGGAGGGCAACACCAAGAAACTATTGAAACCAGAGAGTGAAGAACTTGTTTCATTTTGTAGTTCAATATCATCAGCTTCCTGAGAAAACTTTACTGAAATGAAATGTGAGAGTGACTAATTTCAGTGCCTGACTTTGGATTTAAGGGCTGCAGAATGGAAGAGCATGTTTAGAATGATGCAAAACCCACAGCTCACTATAGAACAATTACAGACACACAGAAGGTTATTCCCAAGGGAACAGCCAGGCTGGTGGACTGGATAAATGCCACTAAGGTCTATTTAACCTGAGAAAGGGAACTGTCCGTTTCCCCCTATGACTGCCAAGTGGAGCACCCCAGATAAAATAGCTGATATGCTTCGTATGCAAGCCATGTGAGACTGGCGTTCTAATGACTAGGATCTTCATTGCTGAATATGCTCGTTACTTAGGACATGATAAATGCTAGAGTTCAGGGAGCCACTTTCAAATAGGCACCCCATACAACCTTATAGCTACAAAACCAAGGAACATATTGGGAAACCTTATCGAATTTTCTGTCGCAGCTTACCCTCTTGGGTTTTACACATGCTAATAAAAACAATATGTTAATTAACAAGAGAATAAGAAGAGGCCAAAAAGGTGGAAAAGTTTCAATAATAATTAAGAAATAAGTTGAATAAAATCGACCACATACTGGGAAACAGAGATAGCCTCAACAAACAAGAGGGTTGAAATCATACCAACCGTATTCTCTGATCATAATGCTTTGAAACTAAAGATCAACTACAGAAAGAAATCAGGAAGAACCACAAATACATGGAGATTAAACAACATGCTACTGAAGAATAACTGGGTCAGAGAAGAAATAAAAAGAGAGATCAAGAGATACATAGAAACAAATGATAATGGTAGTACAACATATCAAAACTTTTGGGACATGGCAAAAGTGGTCATAAGAGGAATGTTCATATCATTACAGGCCTATCTCCAAAAATAAGAATGAGCCCAAATAAACAACCTAATGCTTCATCTTTAAAAAACTAGAAAAGGAAGAACAAATGAGGCCTAAAGTAAGCAGAAGGAAAGAAAGAATCAAAATTAGAGCAGAAATAAATGAAATTTAAAACGAAACAAAACAAAACAAAAACAATAGAAAAAATATAACAAGGAGCTGGTTCTTTGAGAAGGTTAATAAAATTGATAAGCTGCTGGCTAGTCTCACTAAAGAAAAAAGAGAAAGGACACAATTAAACAAAATCAGGGATGAAAGAGGGGGGAATTACAACTGACATTGCAGGAATACAAAGGATCATGCAAGAATACTATGAAAAAGTATATAACACCGAATTTAATAACCTAGAAGAAATGGACCAGTACTTAGAAAGGTACAT